GTTACTTTTATAAAATTTTTATTTTAAATGTAATTTRTATTTTCTTTTTAAGCATTATCTATATATCCATCGTCTCGTTTTTAATTCATTTAATTAGCATTTAGTTGAATAGTTTTCATTCGGACATTACTCAATCTCGATTACACAAGCACATTACTCATACGCCGTGGCATGCGATTTATCTACAACTCTGAACGCCGWGTATGCACACGCATACACCTCCACCTGTGTGTAAATATCTAATCATAACTTATGCAGTCATATGTAAAATGGCGTTTATTTGAAATTGAATGTCACTTCCTGAGTCCTTCGTAGAACCACTCACMGCCGTTCAAGTTCAATGCGATATCAATTGAAAATTTTACAACACTATAAATAATTAAATGGATCTATTGATTTTACAACCGCAATGCATTTACTCATCTGTCATGAGCGCAACCAACTACAGTTGCCTTACCTTCATTTCACCTCGTTTCCTGCCTTTTTTTTAATTTAAGTTGCATAATGTTTATTTATTTATATTTCCCCTACGTTTGCTTCGTTATTCTTTCCTTGTTAGTTAYTTGCTACCTCACATGCATCACTCCGTCTTGTCTGCGGTGTGGACTATTGTATATTTGAATATCTTATATAATAACGGTTAAACGCAAGCAATTTCCATTGCATGTCGAGACATYCCGTCCATTAAGTGACCATTGACACTTCTGCCCTGCTATGCAATGTGATGTCATGTCACATGCCACGCGCGTTTGTGTCTGTGTGTTTGTTGAGTTTGAATGCTTTGGCGTGGCTCATCAGGGAAGGGTTGCTTTACTTCAATCTTTGTCTAACTGAGATTTAAATTGAAATTTTTTATCCAATGCTCAATTTATATGGAAATGTTGATTGAGTTTTACGAAAAAAAGTGTCTTGAGTTTTTTTCTTGTGTGCGATTTTGCGTGTGTTTGCATACATACAAATTTCTATTCATTTATTTACTAATTCTATTCTCTATTTACTTTAGAAATCATCAAGATGTCCGAGTATTGGCTTATTTCAGCCCCTGGCGACAAAACATGCCAACAAACGTTCGAYACCATGAACAATCTCACCAGCAAACAAAATAATCTATGCAACAACTATAAGTTTCATATACCCGACTTGAAGGTAATTACTATTTTTGGTTAGAAAATATTTGTTTATTTGAGAAATATYATAAATAAGTTGGAAACTTTTATTAAAAATAATTTTTTATGTATGTATATATTTTGATTATGTCAAACTTGAGACCACTTCATTCCACTTTCATTCAAAATTTATACAGAGGTTTAAAAAATTTAACAAAATTGAGCGAAATTTGATTCACTATATTAATTTAAAAATTCAGAATGATCTAAAAAAATTCAATCCCTAATTTTTTGGTAAAATAAGTAAAACAGAAATTGTTTAATTTTCAAAAAGAATTTATACAGAAATTCAAAATTATCTACAAAAAATTCTATTCATAATTTTTTTGTAAAAAAAACTGTTTTTTCTTCACAATTTTTTTAAATAAACATAAATTTTTTTAAATAAACATAAACCCAAAGTTCCTTTTATCTAACAACGTAAGCAAATGTTTTTCATTCGGTTTCACTTGAGTTATAAACTTAAAATAGCATGAAATGCTTTGAAAGTAAATTAATTTTAATATTTTTTCTTTATCATTTAATGTATTTTTTTAACTTTTTATTTAAATAAAATTTCATATAAAATAATTTCTTAAAACATATTAATGTAACAAAACACTTTCATCCTTTGCTAACCGTGAATATTTTTTATATAAACATTTTCAAAAGTACTATATAGGAGCCAAAATATTGCCTACATTTAGGCACTTTGCTAAACAACATACCGGAATGCATTTCGTTCGATTTCGCCGAAGTTATAAACTAATTTTAAATTGAATTGCATTTTTTCACATTTATTATAATTTTCCAAATTAATTTTTAAATTAATTGTTTTATTTATCATTTAAATAATTTGGAT